TAAAAATGATTTTTTTAATCAGAAATGTTTCGATGTTTCTCTTTTTATTTATTCTTATTTGATTTTTTTTTTTATTTAGTTGCGGGACCGCAACTAAATCAAAACTTGAATTTCGGACACTGACTTGCACTTAAAAACGTGCGTAGACTATACTTTGTACATTCTTTGAATTGAAGAAAAAAGCTAGAAGGACGATATCATCATCTATGATAGACAATACGACAATGGGACATAGCCATAGGATATTAGTTTGCAATGGTAGCATTGATATATATATCGGTAAGTTGATACCAAAATAAAGTCTATGATTTATTTACTAACAAATTATGTAACTCGTAATCATCATCGTTAGATTTAGCACGTTGAAATAGTACATCATGATCATCTTCAGAATTTGAACTTGAAAGATGTGGATCTGTTAAGGGTAACGGAATATGAGTCATTATGTTGTTATTATCAATTGGTTCACCATCGTTTTGACCAGATTTCCAATATAAATCTACTAAGCAGTTTGTGAAAAGGAATATTAAAAATGCAGTGCTCGCAAGAACCAATGCATATGAGAATGGATCAATGCCGAGTTGTGTTAGCAATGCAATTTGTTCAAGAGTTGCACCCATGAAAAGAAGGCCTGAAAAAATTAACATCTAAGATTGAAAATTTAGTTTATAAATTAGTCAAAATAATAAGTGATAAAAAATATATATATATATTGCATAACTTACATAAGGACACACATAATTGAAAGGAACCAAAGTTTTTTCAGAGAAAATACAAATTTCAACTAGTCTTGCTAAACTAGCACCCATGAGCACATAACCGAACATTGAATGAATCTTTGTGGATATTTCAGAAGCCTGGGCATGCGAACCCATAGCATAACCGGTAAATAAAATTACAAAAACTGGCATTATATTTCTTTTGCCATTCCTGGAAAGATAAACACCGACAGCACCTCCAGCCCACCACAGTATTCCTAACGATGTATGCTATAAAAATATTAATAACTTTCCGTCAATGAACATACCATGAGTGAACAGATATACCTGTAGATCTCTGTGAGACCAAACCTTCAAAAATTCAAATAAAAAAAAAAATCAAATAAGAATAAATAAAAAGAGAAACATCGAAACATTTCTGATTAAAAAAATCATTTTTA